GGGGTAATATATTTCGATGCGAGTTTGCGTCAGGAAAATATCATATGAGTAATGTTCTGTCCCTACCTGGCGTGTTATCGTACTCAGTACGTTCCAAAATACTTGCGAGAAATAAATCGTACGCGTTTTTGGTGGGAATGGAACCCACCATCTCTAGGTAACTACCCTGGCGCCATAACTACTAGACTTCAGAGCTTGTACTTAGTGACTAGTGTTGAATCTGATCCCCACGAGCAGTGATTACTGCAAATGGTATTTCGATTGGGGTTCGCGTCAGCAAAATATCATAGCAGTGTTTTGCCTTCTGGGAACGTGGGTTCGATTCCCATCCAAATCACTTGCCTTGTTTTCGCAAGTATTTGGTAATGTATACTGAGTATTCTGTACGATAACACGTCAGTTAGGACAAAATATCACTATACTTATTAAAATCGAACTATAAAGAAGAAAAATATAATGGACCAAAATTATATTTACTTTCAAAGAAGGTTTGCTATCAATGGATATCCGACCTAGCCTCAGGTAATGCTTATCACAAAATCTGATTGTAGACTGATTCTGAAACAGCTTTGGCTCATCACGAAAACCTTTATCCTGACTCAGGATTACAAATCTAACGACCAAGATATCATAGACGGCGTCGGGAAGGAAGTCTTTAGGCGTCACATAGATGGACACTGTCTGCTTATCGTCTTCTTTAATGTCCAACCTATTATCAGGTTTCGTCTTCATCCGAGAAGGGACGACGAATTGTCGAGCGCCCTCTTTTGATATAGTCTAGATCAATAAACGATAAAAAAAAACATCTAATACACTATTTTCATATCAACAAGAGGAAGACGATGGACATGGTAAATTAGTCACCACCTCCCCACTTTAACAAAATCCCCACTTTCACAATAATGTGAACAGAAAGTACTATGTTGTCTGTGGTTACATACCTTTTCAAAGAAAAGCCCGAATGTCTTCATGAGTTCAATGAAGTCTTCAAAGATGACATCATCATTATCTTCAGTGGCAGTAAGTTCATTTTTCAACAAATAAGGCACTAGTGGTTCTTCAAGAATCCCTTCTTTATCTAACTTACGCCAATACTTTACCATCACTGGAACCTAAATGCAGATAAAAACAAAATAAAAAATAATGTTATCGAAAATTAAAGTATATGGCAATTGTAGTCGCACTCATGAAAACCTTAGAAACACATATTTCTGTTAGCCGTAAGCATCCCAATCCCTATCTTTAAACAATCATAACTATACCTCTTCATGTTCCTCAACTGTAATAATTTTCATGAAGATGTGAATAAGCATATGAATGTTGGTAATCACTGTGTCTTTCAACTTCTTGTTAGTGGAATAATAAAGAATGACTCCAAGATCAGTTAAGTAATTCAGGACGTGGATGACGTTTTTTTCGTTAATACCACAATCAGCAGCAATCTTTGTGATCTAAAATATGATTATAAAAAAATTCAAATTAGTGACTCTGTCAAAATAACACCACACTAAGGACGGTCACATCATAAAATAATTAGCAAATTCACAATCATTATAATTACATATGCACTAATAAATCTAAATGTAACGTAAAACGTAAATTGTTCTTTATCTAAAATTTCCTAATCCTAAGTAATAAAATGTATGATACCTTATTCAAGGACATGCACATTGTTGTCTTCCCAGCTTCTTGGACCTTAGTTTGGAAGTCAACCCAACTGATGGGAACAGTTCTTGCCATTGCCTTCATGTAACCGCCAACATTGGTTTTCAATCGTTCAATTCCTTCATCCATTATTGCATTGTTAGCTACTGCATACATATGGCGGTCAACATGACTCTCGTATGGTGTGTCTTCGATTTCCTTAAATATTTTTCTGAATTTGGCTTTAACCTTTCAATAGAATTAAATTGAACAACATCATATATATACACATACATATACATAGGCCTATATATATATACATATATATATATATATATATATACAAAGGCCTATACACATACATGTATACATATATACACACACATATCTACATTTATATACACATATATACATACACATGTGTATATATATACATATATACATATATATACATATACATATATACATATATATTCACATATATATATATATATATATATATACATATATACATATATATACACACATATACATACACACACACATACACATATATATATGTGTGTATATATATATAATATGTATATATACTGTATATACATATACACATACATATGTATATATACATATATGTATATATATAATAATAATAATAATTAAAGTCATCAATCATAATAATTATTATTTTCAGCATCATAATCATTGTTATCACTATCATCATTGTGTCAAACCATCTCAATATGTTATCCTGCTGTCACATTGTGAAAATAATGTCCACATTTTTTTTAATAACTTCAATTCCAAATAGGTTTTAAAAATCCAGATCTTTTGCCTACAGTAATATGTTGATATATCTCGGGTTTACTGCTGAAGCAGTGATGGATCAATGTCTCACAATCCCCAGCATTTCAAGCCAGTGCCTATTCTACTTTTTAATTCAAATTTCAAAACGTCATCAATACATTAGTCAATAATAAAAAATGGTGGATGAAGAAAGCAGATATTCGTGGCATCTTCATAACAACCTATTGTTTGCCTAATGGGATTATTCCTTTCGAAAATTCAGTATTAAAATTATGAATTTGGATATGAATACTATTAATTTTGCCAAGGTTGCTAAAATATATATACTTCAATTAAAATAAAAGCATATTTTATTGCCCTACCAATGCCTGCTTCTCAGCATCACTTCCTGTTAGGCAGTCTTTATGCGTCCCAATCAGACTAATTGGGGGTGATGCTATCTTTCCATTAATCAATGGTTTTTTGCCTGTACGATGTAGCAGTACAGTATGTTCGTAAATCGACCTTATCCAGAATATGATCATTTGGAGATTAGTCATCTCAAAGTGTCCCTGAAAATAGTCACAAAATTTAAAATGAAAGTATGACAATATTAATGTAGAATAAACAAATATTGTATGACAATAATAATGTAGAATAAACAAATATTGGATTTATCATTTAACTGTAAAACAATGCAATTAAATAATAAGTTAAATTGATTGCTTCCATAAATAATACTTTAAATATAAAATAAAAGATACAATTTATTTTAAAAGGGCCTATCAAAAATTACTACATTGTAAAAAATAAATATAGAACCAATATCATCACAAATGTAACTATGTCAAGCAGGGTCTGTTTTAGAGGTTAATCCACAAAAGGGGTTTATTTACTTTATAAATATCTCTTGGTTCTGCAAATGCATCCAAATCATCTAACAAATTAAATACAACTCCGTAAGATGACCCATCTGTGAGGAAAACCTGAAAATACAAATACAGTAGTAAATAAAAATGTTACACAGCATAACTAACATTAAAACTAAAGCTGCAAATAAGAAATGGATGGATGGATTTATTTGGTGTAAACACTAAAGGTAACCCACGAATATCTGACGAAGACTTATTACCAATGGGGTGATCAACTGGACGTTAATTGGCAACATCAACTGGATGTTAATTGGCCTTTTACAAAAGGTATATGATGATGAAATGGTATGAATAAAATGAATGGTGATTTTGTTTGTAAGAAACATGTTTACAAGGGTATCCTTTTGTGCTATAGTCTGCCGCATGATGGTGCTACATAGAGGGGCTGGGGCTACAGCTACAAATTGACTTATAATCATTTTCGTAGTTAAAATTATTTAAATCAGTGAAAACATTTTGTGTCTCAATTCATAACATATTTTAATATTGAATGAGTAATACATGTTTCAAAATCATATTTTGAAAGCATTTTAATAGATTTAGAAATAATAAAAATAATAATAATAATAATAATAATAATAATAATAATAATAATAATAATAATAATAATATCAGGAACCAACAACGAGTGTTAAAAATGCCTTAAAATTAATATGTTTATGTTTTTCAAGATTTTATCTAGGACTATATTTTGATAGTGGAAGTTGTTTTAATTAGGTTTGAAAATATCGAAAGCACGCAACCTGAGAATTTATTTTTATCAATCTTGGTACCGTATAGTTTTATTTAATTAATTACCCGGTGAGTGATGTAGTAAGTCATCTGACCGGCATAGTCCCATATGGAAGTTATCTCAATCGGTGGAGAACTCTTGTTAGCAAGATTGTCAACAATCTTCTTGCGTATTTCATATGTCATAAGCTGATTGGAAACTCCCGTATCCTGATATACAGGTTTTTCTGAAACAAGTGAGAATAAACTGATAGGCTGGATAACTGAACATCGATAAGGTTGTAAAATATAGTTGTAATTAGGGAGACAGAATGACGATGGTAGTGTCAGAGGTTATGAGGATGATGCTGTATTAATGATGATGATGATGATCATCATCATTATCATCACCAACTCCATCATCATCATCATCATCATCATCATCATCATCATCATCATCATCATCGAGTTGGTGATGATAATGATGATAATAGTAATGACGGTGATGATGACAATGATGACGACGACTATGAGGATGGTGATGATGACAATGATGACGTTGATGACAACATCATTAAGTGGAAGATAAAGATGATGATGACGATAATGAGGAAGAGAACAAGTGGAGGATGATGATAATAATGGTAATGGATGCAATAAAGGTGATGTGATGGTATTGTTGATAATAGTTGCTTATAATGAGGATAATTTTGATAGTGAATTTAATGATAATAGTGATGGTTTTTATCAACGATGAAGATGCTTTCAACAATAGTTATAAAAAGACATTGAGTGAAATACTAATAGGCCTACCTCTTCTTTTCCTTTGCGAAGTCTGAGGCTCAACCGTTTCTGTTAATTCCATCTGCAATTAACAGTGAATCATATTTTACCAATTTTAAAATACTGATGTACCCTCTTTTAAAATACGGCGTCAATCTACCGTTGCTAGCTATACGCTACTACCAAAAGGCTTGTATTAAACTGTAATTATACCCTAAATCATGCCTAACATTAGTGAATTACCAACATCTACATAAACATATCAACATTAACTGGCGAAATTAACATTTTCAATATTTTAAACGTATGCCACCATTAGGATTGTGTCATTACAGAAAACAAAATTACCACAGCAGATGTAGACGCAACAGAACTGGATGACGGTCTTTCTGCATCAGATGCAAATCTAGATGTGTTTTGTTCACTTTTTGTCTGTTCCAACCTCTTTGCAACATCTGCTGCGATACCATATTCAAGTATTTGCTTGGTTAGGTCACAAACTGTACACATTATAAAATTACCCATGAAAATGAGGTCATTATATCAAAGTATATCATTAAAAGCTAATCAATCATTTAAACCCTGAATTTATTAAAATTATTGCATAGCGATGTGGCTTAGCTGATTGCACGTCCATAAATAGGCGGATCACAGGTTCAGGCAGGGCTTTTTTAAGTTTAAGCTGAGCGTTGCTGAGAAGTAATGTTATTGTTTCCTGTGCTGTGAACAAGTTAGGGAAGGACCATGTTTGCATCCGTTACATCGTGTGTGGCTGCCACGAATACTAGAATTTCCGGCCCGAATATCCAATTTCCAATTTTAATGAGGACAAATAAAGAATTAATGTTGTCAAATAAATGTTATTATTACTATTAATTTATTATTATTATTATTATTATTATTATTATTATTATTATATCATTTATATCATTATTGTAAATCATACCATCCACATCCTTCTGTTCCTCCCATTTGATGTAATCTTTGCCTAAACGTTGAAAGACAGTAGTTGTAACAATACCAGCAGTAGAAGGCTCATGCTTATCAAATCTATTAATTGAAGTTTGACATCGTTATTATAGAATTGTATAATACTTTCATTATCAACATCAACATCAACGATATCAACGATAACAATATAACAATAATAACATAAATAAATAATAACGAAAACAATGGTAAATAATAATATTCCTGATGAAAAAATTAATGTCGAAATATTGACGGCGATGGCAACGACGACGACGACGACAACAACAACAACAACAACAACAACAACAACAACAATAATAATAATAATAATAATAATAATATTAATAATAATAATTATTATTATTATTATTACAGTGATTGATTTACTATCGTGTGTAATATCAATTAACGAATAATTACAACAATCAAAACGGATTCAGAATATATATTACAGTTTACATATGATAAATAAATTACATAACATTTCCCTAACATAGGCCTACCTGTAGTTTATTAATTTTCAAAATGCTAAAAATAACAATAAATTTCGTAGTTGCTATTAAATCCCAATTACATATAAAGGCCGTGTCATCCGCCACTCGACCCCGTCACCTAGCAACAACTTTACTTCAGAAAGTTACAAGTAAACTTACACGCGCACACTAGCGCGTGCATGTTAAAAGTTGAGTAGAAAACGAACGTACACTGTAATGTTAAAACTAACTGAAAAAAAGCAAGCAAAGTAAATCGATATAAAGTACAAAACCTAATACATCCGATTGTACTTACTGTTTCCCAAGCATGGCTTTGACACAAGATGTTTTTCCAGAACCCTCGTTACCTAGGAACATCAGTCTTGAATTAACAACTGTTATTTCACCGTTTTTAAGTGCATCTTTGAATGCTTTGACGGCATCGGGACCCCTGCCTAAAATCTCTGACGGAATTGATAGTTCTATTTCATTCAAAAAAGAAAAAAGCAAAGAAAAAAATCAAATACTTTAATAATTTAATTCACTTTCTAAATTACATGTATTTTAATTAATTGCGATAACATTTTTTTTTTTACAATAATAATAACAAAACGGAAATAATATATTCTTATATTCATTAAATGGCTCCTTATTGTGTCGAATTATTATAAAATAATAGAAAAAGAATGTGTAAGTGTTATCATACCTTCAAGTAAATTTTTTAATTTTGTCTTTTTCTCTCTTCTTGTGGATTCTTCGTATCTTTTACATTCGTTATCATCATAGAAATCAAGAGGCGTCTTTCCATACTGCAATAACAGACACGAGCACGCGATGATTCGTATCATTGCACGGGTGACGGTTGCAAATTAAATCAACAAAAAACAGTGGTACCGTATATTTTGGTTTAGAAACCATAATGATATAATAATAAAATGGTAAATAATAATTTAAATAATCAACACTATGAGCATTACAACTTTATAACTATTGTTGTAAATTACTATCACATCACATCGGGGAAAAAATATTTATTGAAATCATACTTAAAAAAATCATTATCATTACAATATTCGCTAACATTTTAATCGATTTAATGTTTCATGGATTAATATATTTATTACGTTGGTTTTAATTAGTAAAAATGTTTCAAGTAGTTTCATATACAGTTGTTGTATTAAGGTCATTGACTGATATTCTTTTGATGCATTTCATTTTTCTGTACATTACCTTATCTTTTATTGTCACCGACGCGCCAAAGGTGATCAGGCAAATTGCGAGTTCCTTGTGTTGCTCGTGCGTCAGCTCCTCAATCCATAGACACCAATGTAGTGGTGTTTGTCCAAACTGCAATGAAATGATAATCAACGTCAAGTTTGTTGTACACGCACAACACAAGAATATCAATTAACAAATATTACGCAAACGTAAAAGTACCTGAAATAATTTACAACTGGTATAATTCATTAACGCCAATGTAATATGTAATAATGATAATAATTGGCCTATTAAAATTTATCATTATGCTATTGATTATAATAATTACGATGATGATGATCATGAGGACAAATAAAATTTAAATAAATACTAACATATAATGGAATGATAATATTACTCCAGCTAATAATATTTATAACGAAAATGATGCCGATGATGGTAATTGTGATGATGATGATAATGGCACTAACAATAGTAATAATACAATACTGTAATGATAATGGTGTTAAAAAGGATATTATTGAAATAATTATGGCTAGTTATATTATAATACATGACGGGCAGTACTTAGTACAGTAGTTAGAATTATATAACGATAAAAAAAACTATCTCAACCCAGTTGTAAATATAATAGGCCCTAAATTATTATTAATACAATAATATTAGATTACTTTTACTAAATTAGAACGTGATGTATTGAATGTGTTTGTGAGTGAATTAATGTTAATTTGTTAGCAATGAATAAAGTGTTGTTTTCTTCTACTGTACTCACGTTGTCTTGCATGTTAATCTTCTTGTTGGATTTTTCCAACACGCGTCTCATTGCTGACACGCGTGTGTTGAGCACCAAGAGATGGAGAATAGTGGAACCAGGACGCTACAAGACAAACGTAGAATATGATGAGAAAGAAATAATAAACAACAACAAGAAACTATACACACACCACATATCAACAACACATAACAACTCACAAACATCACACATTACTTTATTTAATATTTATAAAATGTGGTTTTTAGGCGAAATCGCGCAAAAAATATTTGTATCAATTGGCCTATGTTTTACACACAATAGTAAAATATTTCCAAATTGGGATTTTTAGCGAAAATACTTTTTGTAAAAAATATCAATTTTATTGTCACCAATTTATTCAGTGAACTGTATTAAGCAGAACAAATCCAAACATCACTATTTTTGTAAGTGTAATATATATTTTTTCACAATGTTTCATATGAAATAGTGATAATGGCCATAACATAGGCTTTTTCTGTGTTGTAAAATATGTCAAATAAATCATGAAATAAAAGTCTCATTTTTAACCCAACATGAAATAAATCACTTTGAGTTATTTGTATGTTTTATGATGTGTACACATGTTGTGTGCTTGTGATGTTTAAAATGCAATGATATTTAATTCCACTCACCTCTTTTTGTTCTAAACACTTAACTGTTGCCGTTTCAATCATATTCTCCAACACATCATCTGGTGCGCCGTACCTCACAGCGTCCATTAATGGCGTATCGTCGTACTACGAAAACAAACATTACACTGAATTACGATACAGTTCATACAATTACCAACAATATTTTTTACGCGTTTCATAATTTCAATGGTACGATGATATTCCAATATCATTTAAGAACTACTAAATTATAAATAGTTAAAAATGTGTGTTATAATACACACATTCATTTAAATATATTATATTGATTTTATTTACGATAAATTTTTGGTCATTTTTTCACAATTATTAAGAGTTAAAATAAGATTAACAAAAATAGTGTAATGTTATTTATAAGTGTTTTGGAAAAGGGAATAAGGTACTGTGTCAGTGAAAAGGTCGAGACATAACTTTTACTGTAGTTGTTGAGTCATGGTTTATGTTTAGTATGTTAAAAAATGATATTACAGTACTAATAATAGGCCTTTTACTTAGCATGTCTATATTTTGTTATTACAGTAGTATTGTAGGCCTCTATTATATTTCCTTGTAAACTGTTTTTGATTGAACCATGAAATTATTGATAAGCTATTTCGAAAAGGGAGTACGGTACTGTGTCAGTGAATAGGTCTAAACATAAACGTATAGTTGTTGGACCATGGTTTGTGTTTAGTATTTAAAAAAATGATATTAGCATGTCTATGTTTTGTCAGTACAGTATAGTAGGCCATATGCCTTGTAAATTGTTCGTGCATGAACCACGTATTAACATTTTACAAAAACAGGAGAATACTTAACAACGGCGCGTGTAAATAATATATATTTTTTTTAAATAATTGTATAGACTTACTCATTAACTAAAATGAAGAGCACGAGTAAAACAAATCTAAGTAGGAACCAGAGCCTTGCAGGCGTCAACGTTCCTATGCATGATACAC